CACAAGAGATTTATAAACAATCACTTTGAATAAAACTGTACTGCTGAAGTAGTTAGCTGTCTACTGTGAATTTGGAGAGCTCCACCAACTAACTAGTTGCAACAAATTGCAGCAATGAAAAATCTCAGCCACCTCAGCTAAATGCAGAAAATAAAGTTTATACAGAAAATTCTTACAAGAGTTGGGAAGGAGCAGTGCAAGACTTAGACCTTTCAAGAACCACTGCAGAGGTTCAAAAGGTTGCTACTTTCCAGCCCCCTCCTTCAAAAAAAGTGCTTAAAAACTACTTTGATATTTTCATATAGTAGGAGATGAGGACACAAACACAACTGCACTTACCTGATCTCTAAAGAGAGCTGCAGCTTTGCTGTTGTACTTCTCTTGCATTGACCAGCAGGGATCATAGTCATCTTGAGACTCCAAGAACTCTCGAAATTTGCTGTTACCTCCAGCCTTCATTTTCTCCAGCTCAATATCCTTCCATTTGTCCATAGTTACAGAACGTACAAAACTGAAAAGCAGTTTTTAAAAAAAAATTAAAATCACAGGTTATTATAATTCCCAGGTCATTTATGATTGCAGTTAGCATCTCAACTCTGCTTTGAGCCATGAATTCTTTCTACTGCTCATTAAACTACATTAAAAAAAATTAAAAAAAAAACAACCCGAAAAGTGAACCCAGCTGTGTCCTGTTGTTAAATACAAGGCCACAGGGGGAAAAAAGTGAAACACCATCCTCAAGAAGGCTCTTGAAAACTTGTATCTTGACCAATTTATTTCATTTTACCCCTAAAGAAATACCCTTCATCATATCTTCACCCCAGTAATTAATTTCTTCTTTCATGTAACTTATGGAATAGTTCCAAAGTCTCATTTCCTATGCAATTTCTGTTCACTAATGAGCTTCAATCACCCCTTGAAAAGCAAAGCACTTATTTCTGAATGGCCTTCTTGCTTTGGTGATCTCTCTCCTGGACTTCTTCTCCCTTTCTCATTTAAGTAATTATCCCATGCTCTGCCTCTATCCCATATACACACACTGTGAGTCTCCAGAACACAACAGTCCTTATTCCATAGATTCCCATCTCAGTTGGGTATGTTTCTTGAAAAAAAACCAAAACCTATCATTTATAGTACAAAAAAAAATAAATCTCTTGAACAGAATAAAACTGTTTTACACACTTGCATACGCTACAGAAACATTCTGTAAGCATACCGTGACTTTTTTTATTCAACTCTCAGACTGCTCTAGCACTACTTCAGTTTTAATTGATAAAGATTACAGAAGATTAAAAGAATAGAGGACCAGAACTAGTGCAGTATTACCAAACACCACCACACACCCTCAAGGTGTAGCTAGAGACATTACTTTCTAGAACTGGGCATAACGCAGCTGCACTGGTGCAGCACACGCCCCAGCTAACCACAGACCAGGCAGAGAGCGAAGTTCACTTTGGAGAGAAGAATGAAGCAAAACCGCCACTGAAACCTTGGATCCGAGACATTCTATACCCTTCCAAAACAATACATTCTGCTCACAGCCATAATGCACCCCGAGGTAACCCAACCCTTGAAAGGCTGACCTGAGGTGAACTCCCAAGCCTCGGTGTTTTCCTGAGCACTCCAGACAGATCCAAATTCCATAGGTCACGCTCACCCACTGGGGGTTAAACGCACCACATTCGAAACAGACCTGCGAGAGAAAAACAGTTCTAACACTCAGTCATCACTTGTCCATGTGAAGTTTTCACAGTACAGCTGAAAAAGTCAAATCATTAAAACATTACGCATAGAAAATAATTCAGAAAGGAGAGTTCTTAGTGTTTGGAAACTCCTTCCCTGATAGCATAAGCTTCCTTGGAGTATAAAAATCCCATCTTGGAGTATAAAAATTACTGTACCCACTGTACCCACTACCAAAAACCAGCAGTGAGGTAACGCAGATGAGAGTTGAAATTAACAAGCAAAGAATTCAACTTGATTTCATGCCCAGATTGTTTTGAAGGAGGAGAAAGTAAGCAAACTGAATTTTTGAAGGTTCCTTGGCAGAATAAAGATGCAATTTTTAAAGTTTGGAACATTTATTCAGTCATACTCCAGCTTGGCAGGAAATTATAGCAAATCTTAACAGAGGTTTTCTTAAAAATAAGTTGTTGCACTGTATGAGCAATAAAGCCAAGTTCTTACGACTGGAATCACCATTGAAGGTTTAATGCACTGATACAAATAAAACTGAACCTGCCCAAGGGCTATCACACTCACGGTAACGTATAATCAAGCTACTTGAAATAGACCATTTTAATTAAGCTGTGCCCAAGACATCACTTGTTCAACAGACTCCAGGGCTTGAAATAGACCATTTTAATTAAGCTGTGCCCAGGACATCACTTGTTCAACAGACTTCAGGGCTTAGAGCATTACTAGAACTTCTGAAAGACTTTTGCCAAATATGCAGAAATGTCTTATAATACATAGCTGACTAAAAGTTACTGGAACTAACACAAATACGAGATATCCAGATGTGTATGTTACCGTCAGTTAGCTACACCAGTGCTCTGAAGCTGATAGCTGTAGTACACTGCAACGTACATCTGGAGTAGGTAAAAAGACACCAGTGCTCTGAAGCTGATAGCTGTAGCAAACCGCAATGTACATCTGGAGTAGGTAAAAAAAAAATTCAATTCTACAAAACTAATCTAAAGAAGATTATCATTTTCTCACATTGTTCTCATCTTGTGCTCTGACTTCCTTCAGAACTTTCCTTGTTCTCGGACTTGCCATGATTCTACAGAGGGAAAAAAAAAACAAGTCATATTCAAGGATTTGATATCAGCAAGACGTTCTGTACCTTACAAGCGTATCTCTATGAAAAAGAGCTTGCAACCTAAACCACTGAATCACAATGAATTGCAGGGGAAAAAACAACTCACACAAAACAAAACACCAAAGACCCCACAACCTTACTTTTCCATTTAGTTTTTTACATTTCGGGGGATTTATTCATCTTAATCCATTCACTGGAAAGGTGTAATTCAGCCACATCTGAAAAGGGGGCAGGGGATGATGAACACGGAACCTCTTCTATGGTGTACGTTGGATCAAAACAGACTCTTACTTGGCACTGCTTCCAGACCCACCTGTTGCCCCTTCTGCAAGCACTTTAAAATCATGTATGATTTCATGAGATCACATGCATTTAACTAAACAGACCTAAGCAAAAAAAATAGCAGCAACTTTTACATGCAAGAGTGCTGAACACATTGCTAAAAGAGCGCTTTACTAGAAGATACAAAAAATAAAACGTGATTTTTTTAGAAATATTAAGTTTGCTTATCAATTGAATTCTAAGAAAATAAGGCAACTGTTGGGACCTTTTACACAAAACAGAATTCTAATTCCAACAGTCATGTCTTGCTGGCAGACCACATCAGCTTACTCTAATATTTTTGAATCATGACACACAGCAGCAGGGAACGCTGTCAAGCTACAAATAAAATTCACATTAAAAAAAACCCAAAAAACAACCATGACTCACACACGGCACATAACCTAGAGAAACTGAAAGTACACAAAACACTCATGATTAAAAGAAATAACAGCATAGCGTGCAGCATATAACTGCAATTTAGACAGTAAATGAAATCACACTTCCACTAATTGGGTAGTATGATATTTAAATCAATTTTAAATAAATAACATCTCTTCTTCCTTTTTACTTCCAGTCCATCCTTTCATTTCTAATCGAGAAAATGAAGTTCTAAGACATAATAAAAGACAGAGAAGTCACCAGGCTGACTGGAAACCAGACCAGTATCAGGCTTATTGGCCAGTTAAGATACAAAGCAAAAATAACAGGTCAATGTTTTCAATCAAATACTAGCCTGAGAGGCAGAAACACCTTTATGCAAGTCTTCGACACTTGTTCTCTGTGCTATTTGACCAGTCATAAATCCTTGAATTACGGATAGGATTAATAATCTTGCAATAATTCCAAAAGGTAAATGTTCAAGCGTTACACACAATTGTTGCAAGCCAGCAGGGGATGGAGGGACACACATCTTTAATTAGAAAAGGAAGCCTATTTTAAAAAGAAAAACACTAAATTTGCACGAATGTGACATCAATTTCTTAGATATCTCTAACGCAGAGCAGCTTTCCTGTGAACTGCAACCACAGCGGTACAATATAGACAATTATCCCCACCACCACCTAAGACATGATTCATACAGAAATAAGCTCAACATTGTACCTACGTATTATCGCCGTTAAAAATAGAAGCTATCTGTAGCAGAACTCACTGCCTTTTATTTAAAGCACTTCTTCCTTCCTAAACGTCGCGCTGACAAGCACTTAATTCTCTGTAATTAAGGGACAGTGTTTTCACTGACGTTTAGACTATGCTAACTTTCAATCTTAATTTTTATTAGACAAAAGCAGATAAACTGTGAAAAAAAAAAAAGTGATTTAGACTGAAAAGGTTACTGTAATTAACGGTGAGTAAAATCTTCCAGTCATCGTTCTTCAAATTAAAACTGAACAGAATGACTTTTACCAATAATAAAGCAGAAATTGGGTAACTTGCAGAAAAGGGAAACAAAAGTGTGGCAAGAGACCCCTTGCATAATGAAACATTTTCTCCAAAAGCTTTCCAATAACAACATTTAACTTCACATAGCTTACTTATGTGCATGTGAGGGGGGCGGTAACACTACACATAAAACCTGTTTACTCATATCCTAAACAGAGACCGCAAACACATTTACATGAGTCGAAGTCCATGTCTTCAATTCTAGTATTTGTCACTGGCAAGACAAGGGAACACTCTCCCTCTGGAGTACAGAAATAAAGTAAATAACTCAGCAGTAATGGCCAGACAGACACCTGTGCATACTTCCCCATTTTTATTACATTCTCTTTGCACGCCAAACTCCTCTTCCTCGGGGTTGTATTTCCCCAGCAACTTCTTGTATATTACTGACAAGTTACAAGGTCTCTCTCTCTTTAGCTGGCCGCTCGTTCCCCTTACCAGTATCACAGAATCATAGAGGTTGGAAAAGACCTCAAGGATCATCAAGTCCAACCCAACCCCACCTAACTCACTAAACCATCTCCCTAAGCACCACATCTACACCTTTAAAGGTATCCTTCCTTTACCATTTTTTCCTCCTTTTTCCCAGGTTTTCATTCAGAATAACAGACAGAGGCAGGCTGTATGCAAAGGCCTTCCAGCCTCAGTGGCAAACGATGATTGCTGGAGCTGAACAGGAAAGCCTTTTCCCACTCCAACTCCACACGAGCCAGGAAGTTCCTACAGAGCAGAAAGCGCCATCCATCCTACACCAGCCAACATCCACACCAGTTCAGCGTTTACATACAGAACGAGTTTCAGACCTCTGACTCCAAGCTGACAAAGGAAGGAATTGCCTTTGGGTCTGCTGTAACTTTTTTTTTTTTTTTTAATAAAAGTGTTTTAAAAGACTTTGGCAACTGCAATTTGAACACATGCCCATTTCAGAAGCATCAACTTCCCTGACCAAACCACCACGTGTGTCCTGCGGGAAGGCTGCGTGTCATTCACACTGCCTCATCCAAGAAAAGGAGGCGGTGACTAAGGCCACCAGCTTCTCACCTTCCTCTCCTCCAACAAATCAGTTGGAAATGAAGGAAAGGGGGACAAGAAAAAAGAGTCATGCTCGAAGCTTCCCAATAGGTCTTTAGAGGTGCCTAGTCTATTTTCAACTCTATTTGCCCACAGAGTTGTAAGTGATCAAATTATCAGTATTTACCACCCAAAAGCTGAGCCCTAGTTGCTGCCTGGGCACAGAGCCACTGTGCTGTGCAAGTTCCAGGAATAAATACTGAAGTAACAACTGTACAGACACCTTAAATAAACAATGGTCCTGGAGGTCTTTTCCAACCTTAATGATTCAATGATTCTATGATTCTAAGTATTGTTTCCATCTGATGTAAACAGACACAGGCAGTAAAGAAAATATTTAGTTTAGGAAGTTTTCACTGAAGAATATTTTGGACTAAGGGTTCCCAGGTGGAAATGGACAGCTTCAGACAGACCCATCTCCCACTCTGATTTTCCAGAATGAAAATGACACACGGCACCATGTCAGTTTCCACCTTTAGCTTTGCTAAAAGCCATGAAAAAGGCAGAAGCAGCACAAGAGGAAACGAGCCCCAGGAGGACTTTGCTCCTCGGATGTAGCAGCAAAATCACCCAGTAAAGAGCTTTGCAACCCAGAACATGAAGATGAGGTGACGTGGACGGGGTGAAATCATCCTCCTGAAGGATCCCTACGGGTCTCAGGGGGGTAAAAAAGCCACAGAGGCCTTGTCAGCGGAAAAAAAAAAAAAAAAACCCACCTGGAACCAAATGCCAGCACACATTTCCATGGTGCAATGTTCAAACATCTATTAAAGGCTGTGGCATGCTGTTAAAGTCGTGCAGCTTTACACCTTACCCAGAGCTTCACAGGGGAGGAGGAGGAGGAGGGCAATTTCTTCACACACACCTGCGATATCTGGATGCTGGAAGCCTCCTTCAGAACATGGCCGGGTTCGAGCACACCGGCCTCTCCTTTCTAGTAAAAAAAAAAAAATATAAAGAGACAGATGAGATGTTGGAGGCGGGGGGGGGAAGGCCGCGGTGAGGAGAATTTCAGGCCTCCTTCCTCCCCACACCAACCAGGCGCTTCCCTCAGTGACAGCCCAGG